GATATTGACTGTTTCTTACATGTCTTGTGTTGTGACCCATGTCTTTGAGCTTTATTGGCTTTCAAGGTTGCCATTTGGGTCTGATGTTTCTTCCCTGCAAGATGTTTAATCAAATCATGCTCACTTGTGGCACTCACCTTACAAACCGCACAGCTCCACTCGCTAGAACCTGCAGCTGCTGCTAATGGTGGTTTCCCTTTTGCTCCGGACAGGGTTGCACCAATGGACTTTCCCTGAAATAAAGAAAAAAAAAACTCAAAACAACATCCATGACCTCTCACAGGTGAAAAACTTGTAACCACCCTAAAAAACAACTGTGATCTTGCTGTACATCGCTATGGATATCGAGTATATAGATAGACCAAACCAGACCTCAACATGACAATATAAAAGACTTGTGAACTAGAGATGTTAAATTCCTCAAAAGTCAATAAACCTTATTCAGTATTTCAAGTTTACCAGCTTATGCATTTGGTAATTCCATTAATTGAATATCGTTTTTTATATCTAACGGGACAGCTTGTGTCCTGTTTGGTGTAAAATAATAATTTATGAAATAATGCAATTGAAAAAATTGCAAGATTTACAATACGACTCATGTTTAGGTTTCTTAATGAAGCACAAAATACAATGGAGCATTGCCTATTATCTAAACGAGATCAAGTATAAGGCTACGTAAACTTGAACCAAGAAAATAACAATTTGATATCGAACACGAACTTTTTACATGAACTGAGCAGCCTTGTCAAAATTGTAAGATTCACGATACGATACATATGTTGAGGCTTCTTTAAGAAGCAAACAATACAATTCATGCTCACTCATTTTAATAACTGAAACAATATCACTTATCTAAACAAGATTTAATCTTATAATAAACACTTGTTAGCAAACAAACAATGATCAAACTGCAACTCAAGTAATACCTTACAAATGTTAGGAATCCTAACACTTGGACCACATGAGCCATTACTTTACCAACTCAAATAATGATGTCTTCATCTTCAACACTTTGCAAATCTTGAACCTAATCTAACAAGTCAATATTGCTCACTGTTCTGTAAAACAAGATATGACACGAATCCTGATTAAACACCTATGGAATTTAGAACATCTTCTAGAATACCTGAGATACAGCTGAACGCTAGATGTCCGTACATCCGTATAATCCAATCACTATGCAAAAATTATAGGTCATGTTAACAAGATTTAACCACCGGAGCAAGTCTAAAAAAGCCTACAACAAGAGGACTTGCAATGGAATAACCACCCTAATACTACTATTTTAAAGACAGCAAGCTTAACTATGGAATTTGGATGGAACCTGGTTCCAATCTATGAAATTTAGAACTTCAATGAATCAAGCAAAATTGATCTCCCCCAATTCAGAAGGGGAAATAAACGATTAACGTAAAGAAGTTCTAAACGAGACTATAATTAAATATACAGTAAATATTTACCAAGCTGCATGAACACACAACCGACACCCAAAGAGAAAAATACTGACCAGATCAATAACTTTCTTTTTGGCATCTCCTGGTGACGAAGGAAGCCGCTGGAAGGGGACCTCCTGAAAGCTCCCAATTTCACGACGTTGATGTTCGCTGCAGCCGTATTTCTCTTCGAACGACGCCGGTGCAAACGGTTGACCTCGCGGCATTCCTGGATCCAACCGATTGGTGTGGCTTAGTGGAGGCTTAAGCATAAATGATGATGAAAATCCCCCACCAGTACCACCATGCATTGCCATTTCCATCGCCATTTCTCTCCTCACTTCCGCCTCCTTACGAGCTATTTCCTCGGCCAGTATCTCCCCCCGTATCCTCTCCTTCAACGATGATGAAAATCCCCCATCAGTACCACCATGCATTGCCATTTCCATCGCCATTTCTCTCCTCACTTCCGCCTCCTTACGAGCTATTTCCTCGGCCAGTATCTCCTCCCGTATCCTCTCCTTCTCAAGTTCAAGCTGAATGGCCGCTCTCGTATCCACAAATCCAGGAAAAATCCCCGGTGCTCCTCGGCCTCCGCCTAAACTTGTTCCGCTCCATAATCCCTCTGCAAAACAACACCACCATGCAAAATTCAACTACACTCGCTGAAATCAATAAAAAAAACCTTCATCAAAATCGAATAATCCTCTTTGATTTACTGAATATATCAAAAGAAAATGATCGATGATCGTGTACCTTTTTCAGGCGTATGGTAGATGTGCTGCATCTGCGCATCCCATCCTCTGAAGTTGAACTCCATTGTTAGAGGGATGGAGAATTAGGGTTTTGCAGTGAAAGGTTTACATAAGGAATGGCCGTTGAGGCTCCGGTGGTGATTTGAAGAAGCGAGAAGTTCCGCTTTGGGAGTCTCGTTGTAAGTAGAAAGGACGCCCAAGTCTCTCAGCGGTCGGTTTTATCCGCTATAGTCGCGACCACGGGAACACAAGAGCATCGTAATTCAAAATCTCAAAAGGACAACTATATCTACTATGATTTTCTATTTTTTATCTATTATATTATTAGAATCTTTTTAAAAATATATTATTTTAATATATATTTTAAAATAATAATAATTTAACTTTATTGGTAATTCGTTAGTAATAATTCAACTTCTATCAAACGAGAGAGTTCATGAACTCCAACTCATTCGGGTAGAAAGACCGATTCATCAAAATAAGACACAATTAAGAGGTTCTCATCATATAATGTAAAATGAATTGTTTAGTAATTATTGTCAACGAAATTGCGTGGTTGAATGGTTAAAGGAGACACAAGATACAAAATTATTCAAAGGTTTTTGAATCATTAAGAGACAAAAAAAATTATCAAACAAGATTCACCTTTTAACAATTCAAAAACTATCTCTTAATAAAACTATTAAGAAGTAAATAACGTAAAAATATGATGATATAGCAAACCACTTCATACAGATAAAATAATCCATGTCATGATCCAATCCAATATTTAGTGGAGCCATTTGATTTCTTTTTTTAATTAACTTAATATATTAATTCCACTAATATTTTAATTAGATGAATTCGTACGTGAAAAAGGTTACAAAAATGTATATAAACTAATTCAACTATAAAAAATTATTAAATTTTAAGTGTTGTTTATCTAAACATTTATCTGGCAAGTGTTTATCAGGGTATAGCATAAATGAAACCACTGACCATCTCATAAAGCATATATGCTTGATCTTTCTCGATGCTTTTTTTGGATGACATAAACCGCGCATTCTAGCAACCTTACAAAAACAATCTCTAGTGAAGCTATCAACTCAACCTAAAGAAACCGATCCGCTAGTCTAATATATTCTCTGCTTTCGAGCTGAATTCCGACCAATCAACTAAGATGTCACGGGACTGGGCAAAAGCATGCTAAGGGTGTTGCTTACTCCTTAAATAGCAAAGAAAAGAAGCAAGGCCYGCTACCACGAAGACTAAGAAGACTCTCGGATGGCACTCGGTTTCCTAACTCATTTACTTTACTTGAAGCCTTTCATTTTCGGCAGCTAAGGAGGCAGTCTTGGTCAACCATCCTGAGTGTGACACTTCATTCCCGGCTTTTCTTTCGACCACATAAAATTGGGGTCACTTACGGTTGTGGGTCATTGGGTACGGCTGGAGGTTACGGTCCGAAATAAGCATGCAGCTATAGATACGAAATTTTTTATACTGATTTTGATCATATAAATTTATCATCACACTTTTTTTTTATTTTTCTTCATCTTGATTCTTCCGTATATTAAAAAAGATGTATTAATTAAAAGTTATTTTAATTTTTTTATTCTTTTATCAGAAAAAGGATTTATAGGTTCTCAAAAGTCAATGCCCTTATGAAAAGCAACCAAACATCTTTCAAAACTTAGCTTGTAAGAAATCATATTTTTTGTGAATTATTTTTGTTTCATAAAAATTAGATTTTATAAAAAGTAATCGTCTGTATGTTAACAGCTTAATGGGTTTAATGAGACTCATAATATATCCAATTAAGTATATACAAAATTTTGATAATGGCTTAATAATTTCAGTAAGTCTATAGGGAAAGCTTTCCCAAACATGTATTTCTCAATTAAAAAGTACGCTAATTCCATTTATGAACAAATCATTACAAACAAAAATTTTCTCAATCTATACAAACAGATTAATTCATACAAATAACTTTATTCATATATGAATTAACGAAAATTCAACTAAACAACCCATAACTCAACTTTTTAAAAGGAAGAAATGTAGGGAAATTAATTAAAATAGCTATTTTAACCGCATGGTTTCACCTTTTAATCATCTCTCCTGAAATAACGAAAATAGTCATAGATCCGTAATTTACGGAGGGATCAGAATTAGGGGTGAACATGGATTGGGTTGGGCGGTTTATGATATTTTTACAACCCAACCCAATTATGACGGTTTGGGAAATCTCAACCCAACTCAACACATTCAAAAATATAATCCAACTCAACCCAACCCTTGCGGGCTGGGTTGGATTGGCGGGTTACTAAAACTCATAAAATTGGCAAATGAAATATGATAAATAATACAAAAAAATATACTCAATAAAGTCATTAGTTATTACAATCATCCAAAAATATATCTAAAGACTAAATCCTCAAGTCTTGAAATCAATTTTCAAAAGTTTGATATGAGCAACAGATTTACCATTTCCATATGTCAAAGTATGTGTCCTTGGGAAAATTTGGTGTAATAGGAGATTAGGATCCTTATGTCATCTCGTTCTATAATGCTTTCCTGCAAAAGTTGGTGCAATAAGAGATTAGGAGTTGCACGGAACATTACTCAACCAAAGAGTTCAAAATAAATAAGAACAACTTACCGCCAAAAACAACAAAAGAAGAACTATGCATCTCATAGCCTGAACCTAACATAATTTGGTATGATTTAAATGCTCAATCAAGTACGACCGTCTTTGACCTTCCCGACTGCGATGTTGCATTCTTCTTGAGCTTGTCTACAATTCAAAAAGAATATTAAACAATTTATTAAGAATATGTAACTCTATAAGCATGAAAAAGAACCATCGTTAAGTTTACATTCTTCAAGAAATTCATAAGATGAAATTTCATCTAAAAATTTACTTATTTGAATCCCCTCATTATTCTCTTTCAACCAACTTTGTGTGCATACGAGCGCCTCCTTAATTTTTGTAAATATCACACACACACACACACATATATATATATATATACACATAATTTTATAAAAAAAATATATACATTAGTGGCGGGTTGGCGATTTAGGTTGGGTTAAGTTATGTTAACCCAATTTCAACCCTCCTAATTAGCGGTTTGGCGGTTTAGCGGTTTGACGGGTTGAGTTTAATTGGGTTGTTAGTGGGTTGGGTTGGGCGGGTTTCGCAGGTTGACGGTTTTTTGTTCACCCCTGTTAAGTTATGTTAACCCAATTTCAACCCTCCTAATTAGCGGTTTGGCGGTTTAGCGGTTTGACGGGTTGAGTTTAATTGGGTTGTTAACGGGTTGGATTGGGCGGGTTTCGCGGGTTGACGGTTTTTTGTTCACCCCTAGTCAGAATGTAAGAAAAAAAGAAAGTTTCTGAACTAGATCCGCAATTACAGGGACCAAATATGTAAATTTGGAAAACACATCTCGACATTTTTTCGGGCCTATTCCAAAATTTACATATTTGGTTTCTGCATTTGTGAACCTGGTTCTGAAACTTCTATTTTTTACACTTTGACACCTCCACAAATTACGAACATACCAATTGCGGGCATTGTTTTCATTAAGAGGCGAAACCAACCATAAAAACTGGGTATTTTAATTAATTTCTCAAAAATGTAAGATCTAAAAGGGGTACAAGTGTCTTAAGAACATTTCCTTTTTATTGTAAAAGTAGCAGACTAGTAGCTAACATTTCAAGTTTGGAAGCAAACAAGCATAATAAATAGCGTAGTGGTTTTGGAAGCATAATTAGTGAAAAATGTGAACTACTTCCGATTTAAATTCATGTGTTAGTTACGGTTTAGTAGTAAACGACAATTAGAAGTGATAACTACGAAAATTTTCAAGAATCAATGGTTAGAAAGCAAGAACCAAACAAATACGGAGTTGTTATATTTGTCCTTGATATGATTAGTGGGCTAATTCCCAGAATAACAGATGGATCAATAAAGGATATTGTCGTTTCAAAGTAAAATGATGTTAGCATGCACTTTGATAGTGAAAAGGGGCAAAAAGAATCAGTAAAAACAAACGAGAAATGAGTTTGTATGGATTTAAGTTTACTGATATATGAAGAACAACCTTTGTACATTGAAAGACACTTTGAAAGCTAGTTCGTACGTGGCCTTCAAGCTTGACATTAAATCATCTATTGTACATATTTTTAGCGTTTAGTCGGTGGTTTTGTATATTAGCTTCGTGTTGGGTTCAAGATTAGTGCTTAAATGTTGTATTCAAGTTTCTCTATTTATTTAGTTTTCTTGTAATTAGTTTAGCATTATTTTCTTTAGTATAAATAGTCTTTTCAGTGTATTCTGTAATTACACATTGATTACATCATTAATCAAAAAGGTGATTTGACAGCAAATATTCTCTCTCTCCAATCTATATTGAATTCATATTCTGTTCTTGAGATTTARTGAASATTGCTTCAAGATTCGTATGAAATCTGGACTTTTCACTTCGGTTAAATTGTACATTTTTAACGTAAATTGCACGACATTCTTCATTTGTGTCATATCAGCATCGTGTTTAGGTGTATTTTAATTTTGTTGAATTATAGATCATACTCTTGAAAGCAATAATCAATTCGTGGATGAAGCTCGAAAAATGAGTGAAAGACTGCAAGATTAAAAAATATGAAGAAAAAAATTATGTCAAAGAAATGAGACATAAAACCTTTGTTTATTACGTGTCGGACTTATATTCTATCGTCAATGAAATTGAGTTATGATCAGAGACTTTATTTGATAACCTTTTATTTAACAAATCAATCTAGGAAGGGAAGCTGACTTTTATCGTTGGGGGGATTAGTCAACGATTCTAGATTTACCATGAAGGCTAAATGCCTATAAAATCTTAATGTTTTACATAAGTTGGGATTCACGGAAGTCCAATAAAACCGTTAAAGCCCAATACAATTCATTAAAGCCTAATACGGTCTATTAAAGTCAATATTATCCATTAAACCACAACTAATATCCACTAAAACCCAATACGATACATTAAAGCCTAATAGAGCCGTTAAAGCTCAATACAATTTGTTAAAGCCCAATACGATTCGTTAAAGTCCAACTAACCCAACTAACATCCACTAAAGCTCAATGGAATCATTAAAGCTTAATACGATCCATTAAGAAAAAAAAGGTTTGAAAATAGGAAAAA